GAGGAGGCGGGGCAGGCCTGGCAGCCGGCACTGTGTGGGCAGGAGGTGAAGGTGAGGCTGGGCCAAGGCTGAAGTCGAGGCGCGGGAGCCGGTTTTCCCAGGCTGCGTCTGAGTAATCCTGTGTCTATATTTATCTCCTTCTTTCTTGGGTGAGCAAACAGAGCCCGCTGCCAGCTGGGCCTGCCACCCCCCGTGCCGGCACGTTCCCTTTACCTGTCGGGTGGCCCTGAAGAGCACCGCCGTCTTGGCCCCAAGCTCAGCTTGGCCCATGTGGGGCACACGGGGATGCCTGAACCCGGCGGCTCCCATGGCAAATCCAGTTGTCCATGGTGGCCAGGAACCTCCCGTGTCGTGTCGCTGCACATGGGAGCAGTTGTGGCTGGGCTGTGCTGGGGCCGGGGCTGTGCTGGGGCCTGTGGCTGGGGCATGGTGCAGGGGAGGGCTGGAAAGGAACCCCACCACCTTTCAGAAACAAAGAGTGCTCTTACCTAGGCCAGTGCTTTTCTTGCACCCTGTGGTGTTGACATCAGCTCCTTTGCCCTCCAAGACCAGAGAGTCCCAGGAGGAAGCTGCACGGTGCAGCCTGGGCTCCACCATCTGATGGCTCTGGGCCTGCGTCTTGCACCCTGGCATCAGCCAGATAAGCTCGCTGTGACTCGGTGTCCTTGCTGGCCAAATGGGGCCAATGCTTCCTCCCGCGCAGGGGTCAAAGCGTGCAGTTAAAGACGTCGTGAGCCGACACATAGGGTGGGTTCCTCTGGGTGGGGGCCTCCTGTTGGCACCCACAGCCGCCAACCAGGGGCTCAGGCAGATCCGCAAGGTGGTGCACATCTGTAGCTCTCACAGCGTGTGCACACTGACGGACACCCCTAACTCTGAGAGGTGTGTGAAGCCGTAGACCCACGATGAATTAAATGGGTTGGCGCTCAGACCTTGGGAAGATGCTAGAAGATATGGGAGCCAGAATACTAACTTTGCTGAGACCCTTCCCGGTGTCAGCGCGCGGGCAGGACAGGCAGCCAGTAGCAGGTGATGGAAACAGCAATGAGAGATGAGGCCGCCCGGCCCAAGCCTGGGCTCCACTACACTGATATCTAGCTGGGTGCTTGCTCTGCCTCTGCCCTCTGCCCCAGCAGTGCCATCTCCCTTGACCCTGCAGAGCCCTGGGCCTGGTGCACGTGCCCTGCAGCCCTGCCCGCTCCCAGGCTGGATTAGGCAGAGGCCAGGGACGTGCGGGGCTGGCAGGCTCAGGGGCGGGGTTGCTGCTGGTGCTGGGGCTGCCCTATGCCGGCTCGGGACTGGGCTGCGGCAAGGCCTTGTATGGCTCTGGCAGAGCAGCTCGGCGGCGGCACCCATTGGCTGGGCTGGCACTCCCAGCCGGTGCTGCCCGGGCCCCAAGCCACAGGTAACTGGAGCCATGGGGAGCTGGTGGATTAGTGCGCCCGCCTGCCCGCCCGCCCGCCCGCCTGCCACCGGCTGCTCTTCTTTCCTAAAAAGGCAGAGCTGCAGGGACGGGCAGTTGAACTCGGACCTGCGGAGAGGGCAGCAGGTGGGGCGGTGCAGGTGACTCCGTGGAGGGTTCGGGAATCCCAGCCCTGGCTTTGGGCCAGGCTCTTCCCGGCTCTGGACTCCAGTTTTCTCATCGGAAAGGGGAATGATTGGCAGCTGGGTCTCCCTGGAGTGGATGAGGCCTGGGTAAGATGGGAGGGAGTGGGTGTGGGTGTGCTGGGGTCCCTCAGCCCCAGGTTCGGGGCTGCTCAGTGACAAACAGGCCCAGATTCTTGTCCTGCAGGAAGCCGGCCATTTCCTGACTGTGGGCACCTGTGTTCACATCCTGGCCCTGCCACTCACCACGATGGCCTGGCAGGAGCAGCGTCACCACTCTGAGTCCAGTCTTCTTGCTCTGTGAAACGTGGCGTGGTGCTCAGCCCCCTCCTCCCAGGGCTCAGGACCGGCGCCCACCATGAGCCCTGTGTCAGTGGCCCCCCAGTGCCCCCAGCTCACTCTGACTCTCCCTGCCTCTACTGCAGCTCTCCACGCATGCCAACCTCAGGCTGGCCCGGCCTGCTCTGCCCGTCCTGCCCACAGCAGCCCTGGTACCGGGAGTCTCGGGACAGAGCCGCCTCTCCAGGTTCCAGGCCCAAAGAGGGCCCAGGTCTGGGGGTGAAGTCAGGGTCTCTGAGTGCTATCCTGGTGTGGACCCGGGCAAAGCTCGGCCAAGGCCTTGGCAGCGGCCTACGTAGCCAGCATCCTCCCGAGACTCTGGGTGTGGCGGGATGCATTCGTGGCCCTGCTGCTGCCTGGGGGACATCTTGGGCTCTACCTTTCATCTGTGAAATGGGCGCGTGCCCTGTCCTGTTCCTTTCTGAAAGGGACCGTGCTTTATGGACTCTAGAGGGCAGCCCAGGAAAGCTGGTGGCCAGCGACGTGGCCGTGACCGGTGGACGTGGGGCCCATCGGCAGGGGTGGAGAGGAGGCAGCTGATCTCTCAGAGAATGCACACGCTCTGTGTTCGTGCCCTCAAAAACTGGAGAACCAGGCTGCTGCCCGCAGGGCCTTCCTTGCACCTGCACCCGCAGGCACGGGCCCCAGTGTGCCTCGCAGGTGACCTTGCTGACAAAGGCGTCTGGGGAGGAAGTGCAGGGGGTGGGGCGACAGCTGCTGGGCGGTCTGAGACCCAGGGTGCCCCTGGGGCCGTGGTGGGTGGGGGCAGATGCGGGAGGAAGTTGGGCATCTGAGGGGCTCTTGTCCTGATACTCCCTCTCACTGCCGTGCCCTTCCGCAAATGTGGACAGTGATGCGCATCTTGCTGGATGCTGGACACGGGGCCTGGCCCTCCGTCTTCTGGGGCTGGTCTGGGCACCTCTTTCCCGCTGGCCTGGGCTGAGACGGGGTGCTCCCTGCACGTGTGCAGGCTCCTACTTCCCAGCTCCTGGTCCCACACCCCGTGACTATGACGCCTGGCGCTGGCTGTGCTCCCTGGAGCCTCCCCCGGGCCAGTCTTCCCTTTTTGAAACAAACAAACAAACAAACACACACACGCCTGTAAAACCCCAGCGCCTTTGAGGATGTCACCATCAGGCTCTGTCCCTGTCTGCAGCGCTGGCATCTGCCCACCTCGGGGTTCAACCCTGAGAAGGTTTAGCCAAGCGATTGTCACGTGGATTATTTCCATAGTCCTGCTGACCCTTGACCTTCCTCCGCAGCGGCCAGGAGCGCTTGCTTCCTCCCCAGCCCCGGGCCTCGGGGGCCCGTACTGCCCTGTTCACGTGCCCGGACTTGCAGCCCTGGAATCCCACTGCGCATCTGCTCCGGGGCCTGCACTGGGGACAGCTCTGGCCGCCACCAGGGGCCCTCCGTGTTCCGCAGCATGCTCTCTCTGTCCCCCCAAGGCTCTCCAGGCCCCTCTCCCTGTGTCTTCCCCAGGGGGCTCCACTCTTTCTCGAACACCCACCCACAGGGCACCCTCGGTCCCCAAGCAGACTCAGTGCGTGCACCTGCCCCTTCCTGGGTCATCAGAAGATGCAGTTTCCATCTCCTCCTGCTCCAGCCAGGCTGCAGCCACACCAGCCCTTCAGACACACTCAAGTCTTCCTTCCCTGGCCCCGTGCCCCTGCAGCTGCTGCCCCAGCTCGCCTCTGCCCCACCCCAGGCCGGAGTGGAAAGGTGTCTGCCCCTGGAGTCTGCACTTCCCACCTTCTCACCCTGTAAGCTTCTCCAGCAGTTATCCAGCTCAGCAGAGTCCACACAAGGGCTGGTACCCCAGGAACGGGACTAGGCCAGCTTTCCCCAGAGTCAGCGAGGAGCCTGTTAATGGGGCACGTAGACCCTCCAGGCTCTGCGCCCCGCACCGAGGACCCCTGCTGACCATCCGCCAGCCCCTCTGCTTCCTCCTGGGCTTCCTCTTCCTCTCCTGGCCTTACGGAGGTTCCCAGGGAAGGCTCCCTGGGCAGGTCAGACTCACTCCGGGCTCGAGTTCTGGTTCTCTTGCATCCGCTGGATTGTGGCCCCTGTGGCTGCGTCATCATGGCCTGCTCTCCCTATAGACAAAGCTCTACCCCAGCAGGGCCACGCCTGTCTTGCTCACTGCCCTGGTGTCAGCCCTTGGCTGGCGCTTACCAAACCAGTGCCCATCTCTCCCACCCTTGGGAAGCCAGCCTCCTGCTTGGAAGCCATCTGGTAATGTTTGGGGTGCTCCAGGCTCCAGTGGCTACCCCGTGTGCCCCACCGCCTCTGACCCCCACGGTGCACTGGCCATGACCCTCCACTTCACAGACAGAGGAGCAGAGGCACTGAAAGGTGACTTGCCCAAAGGTCCACCAGCGGTGGGCGCCGTGCCAGGGTCTGAATTCAGGGCTCATCCTGCGGTGAGCTGAGTGTCAGCCTCCGAAGCCGAGGGCACGGCTTGACCCCCCGGAATCTGTGAGAGCGACTTGGGTCGGAGAGAGGGCCTTTGTCCACGTGACTGCGTTGGTGACCTCCAGGTGGGAGCCTCCTGGGTCGGGCTGGGCCCTAGAGCCACCGACAAACGTCAGAAGAGCAGAGACGCCCAGACGGCGGGAAGCCAAGGCGGGGCTGGGATCCGGACACCCAGGAAGGCCGAGGCTGGCCTGAGCTGCCAGAAGCCAGTAGGCAGCGGGGAGCGGACCCTGCTGAGAGCCTCCAGGAGGAGCCCCCTCGGCCCACAGCTGGACTTCAGACTCCCGGCCTGGAGCAGGCGAGAGCGTCTGTTCCGCTGTTTAAAGCCATGTGCGACAGCAGAGCTAAGGAACTCGCTCAGGGCCCAGGCCACGTGGCTGTGGCGTTTGAGCTTCCCAGCCAGGCGGGGACGTGAGGTTCCCAAGAGAGTCCTGGGCTGTGTGACGGTGGCCCAGTGGCTCCCCCTTTCTGGGCTCGAGTGCTTTGTGCTAAAATGATCACTAGGGACGGACGCCAGGCGTCTCCCTCCATCTCGGACATGCGCCACTCTCAAGACAAACCATGAGCCGGGCAAGCAGAACTATGTTGGGGTTTTCAAATTTATTCCAACGTGCTTTTTTTTTTTTTTTTTGTAAAAAATATCCTCAGGCAGAACACTCAGCCCGAGCTGTAATAAAGGCAATTATTAGACTTGTAAAAACGTCTCATTCACAGTACAGATGTCATTTACAACAGAGGTCACACACAGCGAGACTGAGCATTCGGTCCCTTCTGGAAGCCAGACTCTGTGCTTTGGACCTGCGTGGACTTTTTTTTTTTGTTATGGAGTATTTTTTTTCTTTTGCACTGATATATACCATACCGACATTGCAAGATGCAAGTGTAGAAACGGGAGTTTAAATAAAATTACAGGCAAAACCTATCTCATCCCAGTGCAGCTACTGTACATACGTACAGTACGATTTTTGGAATGTATTGCCATTGAAGAACATAGAAACTCTCTAAGGACAATTTCACACACAGAATACATACACCTTTTAGAAAAAAAAGGCAAATATTTATCTTACAGACAGTGCGTATCTTACATTTGCCTACTTGTTTCTCTTTGCTTTTTTTTGTTTTGTTTTGTTTTTTAAAACACTTGATTTAGTAAAGTGATCGTGAGTGCTGAAGTAATTTTCTAGTGGGAAGCAGACTGGATTCACGACACGGAAGCAGAATTTGGGGAACAGGCCTTCCGGGCACTTTCTCCCCTGGTCAGTGTGGCAGGGAGGCCCCCCAAGGACGGCTGCTCAGCCGAGACTTTTGCTTTAAGAAGGATTTGTCTGGAAAATGTACTAGAAAGAGAGATTCAGCTCAGATACAGGGCCTGCTCCCATGCCAAAGGACCCGGTTGAGGAGTATGGAAGCTAATCCTTGCCTACTTTTCCCAACAGAGGGCGCCAGAGAGACTTCTGGGTCTGGAGGTTGGAGGCTCTGGGGTGTGAGGGGGGTGGCCCACCGCTTGTGGGCTCCCGGAGGGTCTCAGTGGCTGGGGGCAGGAGGGGTCAGGCCTGCAGTGGGAACAGGCCGGGTAGTACTCAGAAGGACCCTGAGATGGCAGGGGGCAAAGGGCTTCCTGGCAGGCAGACCGGGGGTGCGGAACCCACCGTAGATGGTGAAGTTCGGATCTGAAGCCTTCACAAACACTGAGCCCCTGCTCCCGAGAGCCCAGAATCAGAGCTCCTGTGCACCAGGGAGTGGCCATGCCGCCAGCTTCACAGGGGCCCAGGCGTCTGTGCAGTCCGTCAGTGCCATGTTCCAAGGCCCGGGGCTGGTGGCGCGGAGGGGGAGGTGTGTGTGTGGGGCTGTGCACCTGTGCCCTGGGGAGCGGGGGTGGAGTCTGTGCCCAGTGACAGGAGCCCCAGGCTGGTGGCATCGATTCTGTTCTTCTGGGCACCTGTGTGAGGCAGTAGCCCTTTGGTCAAATTTCATTTGTGCATATGTCCCCGTCATTTGGGAAGGAGTCTCCTGTGACTCCTGGCCCGCTGTGCCCCCTTGCCCCTGCCAGCCGTACCACCCAGCCCTCAGCTCCCCAGAACAGCTAAGGGCACATCGAGGGGTGGAGGGGTGTGGCCGCCCCCAAGATGAGCACCCAGTGTGGGGCAGGAAGGTTTTGCCCTGGGAGGTTTCCAGCCCCTGCCAAGTCTCCCCTCCTAAAGTCCCCAGGAATTGAGACTAAATAAGATGATGGTGAGGAAGGCCCTGATGCCAGCCTGGGCTGTGAATGGGGCCAGGGCCCTGTCCACTTCCTGTCAAGCCCAAACAGTGCCAACACTGTCCAGGCTGGGCTCACTGGTCTCTCTCAGAGTGGGTGACACCTCCAGGCTCAATCTGGCAGCCAAGGTCACTGGCTGACCACAACTCCCCAGTGTCCAGGAGCACAGGAGCCCCGGGCACGCTCTGTCCTCCTGTCCCCTGTGTGTGAAGCACAGGAGAAAGAGCCAGGGGCCCAGCTGGAGGATGGACCAGTGGCTGGGCCGCGCATCCAGCAGGGGCCAAGCTGGCGAAGACACCCTTGAACTGGGGGAGAGACAAGCACAGGGAGCCCCCAGCGGCATCTCAGCCCTTCCCACTCAGCGCCCTGCCTGAGCAGCCCCCACAGCTCGGAGCCCCTGGCCGGGCCCTGGCTTCAGACAGAAGAAAAGGCCCGGCTCTGAGTGAGGTTGCCTCGGCGCCCGGCCTGGGTGGGCGGCCACCGCGGACCTTGCACTTCCCCTGCCTTGCAGGAAGCAAAGAACGACTCTTTTGGAAGCTTGTGGAAGGCACTCACCTCTCCCGGGCGGAGACTGGAACCGAGCCCGCCTGCCTGTACCAGGAGCACTTGTTTCCACATTTATTGACACTGGGTAAATAGGCTCAAGTTCAAGTTCCACACTTCAACTTGGGATTTAAGTTTGGGGGGGGGGTGTAATTATTTTTCTTACCAAAGCAGGCGTCTGTCCCTGGAAATGCAGGGTGACCTCTTAGAGGTGGCCTCGGGCAGGGATACGGAAGAGGCACTGGCTAGTCCACCTTGCTTTGGAGAAGACTTGAAGTGACGCAGGGACATTCAAAAATCCTCTGGGCAGGAGACTGTGAGGCGGCTGGGGAAGACCCAGTGCCTTCCTCTCTTTACGTGCGAGTGTATTTATATCTGCATGTACGTGTGCACACACAACCACACACGAGAGGACTGGAGAGCACTCATGGGAAACTAAGCTTATTTTGATGCAAGTTCTTGAGCCCCGTGGTGTTCTTCATGCCCATTGCCCATGTACTTTCTGAAGCCTCCGGATTCACAAGGGTTTCAAAATGCTTGCATTGAAATAAGCTGATCTTTTAATTTCTTCAATGAACTTTCGGAAGTACATACCCTCGTGTGTATGTGTGTGTCTCTGCATGTCTGTATTTAGAGGTCAAAACCGACAATAGGCCCGGGCAGCCCCCAGCTGTCATTTTGGGGGTATTTCTGTGGGGGAGCGAAGGCCTCAGAAAGTGGGGTGGGCACCAAGGAGTCCCCATGGGCCTCCAGCGCCAGGCACTGGGAGAGCTTAGCCAGCGAAGGGAATGGGGTCCCTGTCCCCCGGGATCAGGTGAAGTAGGACCCACACTCCATGCCCCTGGGCCTTGTGCCTTGCTTTGAGCTTTGTGGGTGGTTTTTAGGATGGAGAAGGAGCCTACGACCAGGGCCCTGAGAGCAAGGCCTAGGCCAGGTGCCTAGGGAACAGGCAGTCAGCCAGGACTCCTTTCCCAGCCCAGGGAGCAGAGGGCCGGAAGCCAGGGCTGGGGTGGTTCGTCCACTTGTCACATGCCAGGATGGACCCCGGCTCAGACTACCCGGGTAGCTGGGAGCCTGGGAGAACCAGCTCCTACCTCCTACCTGTTCCTATGAACTCGTGTTGAATCCTAGCATGGACAACATTTTTTCCTCTTTCAGGCAAAGAAATAAATTAAAAAAGGAAAAAATGGTTTTCCAGGCCTGCTTGCGGAGTGCGGGGGCGGGGGCAGGGACAGAGCGGCAGTGAACAGGACCAGGAACGTCTGCACACAGCAGTGCTTGCTTCTGCATTTAATCACGCATTTTAAAAAGTTTCCTTTTCCTCCTCTCCCTCAGGGCACCCCTTTGCCCTCAGCAGGGTCTGCGCCTGGCCAGCTCGGGCGAGGGGTGGGGGTCAGGAGGCGCCTCCCGGTACAGCACAAATCCTTCTCGGCCCCGGGACGTCTCGTGGGTGGGTGGGTGGGTGGGGTTTATGCACGTGTATGATTGGTTTTGTTTCCTTTCAAGCAACAAAAGGTGTAGAAAAGGCACAGGTAACTGCAGACATGGGAAGGTAGGACAGACGGGCTTGCGGGCAGAAGCAGCACGGACGGATGGACGGATGGACAGACAGTCAGGGCAGAGGGACGGTGAGCGCCGTGAGTCGAGGGGCTGGCTGCAGAGATCCGTTGCCTGCCGCTGGGAGCCGCATGCTGGGGCGGCCACACGGAGACTAAGGGCTCGGCGGGCCCCTGTCCTCGGGCTGTGGTGGAGGCGCCCTGGGCTCCCCACTTCCTGAGGGCTCAGGGGAGCCCTGCCTGGTCCTGGGTTCCCCGGAGAGGTTCCTCCTCCTCCGGGCTGGGAAGCGAGCGGAGGCCTCGGCCAGGCAGCCCACGGAGCTGCTGCGGTCCAGTGGCGGGGTGGCTGGGTCCTCGGGCTTGGCCGGTGCGCGTGGTGACTCCAAGCGGGGGCTCCGGGACAGTACTGCCCAGTGGCCCTGGGGTGGCCGGGATGAAGCCTCGGGTGGGGTGTGGGAGCTGTGCCTGGGCGTGGGTTCTGGGGGCGCCTCGGCCCCCTGGGGCTCCCAGTCTGGAGGTCTGCCCAGGCCCCCGCCTGTCCGTTCTCTCTCCCTCTCCCTGGGGTCCTCCCTGCCCTCCAGCTCCGAGGAGAGGGTGAACTTGGAGACCTTAGCCACGGGGGACACAGAGGCTGGCGAGCTCTCGGTGGGACTCCAGCGGCTTCGCTCCTGGGCCTCCCGGGCCCCTGTCAGGTCGCTGCCACCCCCTGAGAAGCCGCTGACCCAGGCCACCGTGGGCCCCGGCCGGGCCTGCACCATCTGGATCCCCCCGATGGGGATCAAGGGGCACGGGGCGCGGGTCAGGTGCTGGGAGTGCAGCGGCAGGTGGCTGAAGATGTTCTCCTCTGTCCGGGCTGGGATGTGGCCGAGGAAGTCGCGGGAGGCAGAGAAGGGTCGGGAGCAGAATCGATGAGCAGGGCCAGGTGAGCAGGACGGACTTCGGGGCTCGGCCTTCTGTTGGGGTTAGCAAACAAGACAGGGTGAGGCCAGGAAGGTGCGCTGCGCTGGGAGGCGGGGGCGGGGCTGCACCAGGACCTAGGCACTGAGCGGGGACCGGAACCTGTATTCCTGACTGCCTGCCCGGGATACCATCCAGTGGGCCATTCCCAGCTGTCCGGCGACTGGGGGCGTCCTCTGACCCCGTGGTCTCAGACCTTGGGGCAACACATCTGTCTTTGTGGGAGGGGCTTCTTAGACAAGCTCCCCCCACCCCACCCCCGCTCTCACCCTGGTCCGTCCTTTCCGTTCCTCCAATGGCCCTGCCCCAACTTTGCCCTTGGACATCTTCCCACCCAAGGCTCCCAACCTTCTCCCACCAGCAGGAATCTTAATGGGAACCCACAATGACAACCAAGGCTCGGCTCCCACATCAGTGCCCCTCCAGGAGTGATGGTGCCCTGTCCCCGGGAAAAGGGGTCAGGTCTAGGGAAGCTGGCTGCAGTGTGTGTGTGTGTGTGTGTGTGTGCGCACATGCGCACAGAGATGGCAGGACCCCAGGGTGGTGAGGCTGTGGCAGCACTGGTGAGGCTGGTGGGTGGGACCACAGCGGTGGCAAGAGGTGGTGTGGCCGTGGTGATGCCTGTGGGATCGCTGGGGGCATGGGGACAGCAGTGCTGGGGCTGGGGTGACTTTGGGGACACTCTGCTCTGTGCTCGCAGACCACGTGGGGGGCAGGGGCTGTGGAAGCGTTTATACTCGCGGCCAGGCCGCAGGTAGAGGCCCCCAGAGCCCATGATCTCCGGAAGGCTACAGGGAAGGTGAACCGACCAGTTGGTCATGGCACCCGGTGGGACGCTGGGCCCAGTCAGTGCCCAGAGCTGTCTGCCGAACCCCACGGAACGCCTGGACTGCTGCAGCGGTGTGGTTCCCGGGGGACAGCTCAGAACACACCAACCCCCCAGCCACCGGGGAGGGGGGGCGGGCTGGGACTCACCCAGGTGGAGGCGCAGGTCTCGGAGCTTCTGCCGAGGAGCTTGTGAGGTAGAGGCGCGGGTGGAAGGGGAACCCGCGGGGCCGGCCTCGAGCCTGGGCCATGCTCACCCGCCGAGGGGCTGCCCGGCCCAGCCAAGGCCCACTCCCCTGGCAGCACCGGCCGTGGCGGGGACGCTGCCTGGCCCGGAGACCATCTCCTGGTGGGTGAGTGGCGGAGGGGGCCCGGGCCTGGGGTGCCCTCAAGTTCGGGGGGCAGGTGTGCGCGAGGGGTTGGTTCTCTTCCCAGGGGATGGAAGGTGAGAGGAGACAGCTGGAGTCGTGGAGACCCGCAGGGGAGGGGGCCCGTGTCTCTTCGTGGGCCTGTCTGGAGGCCGGGTGGGCTCGAGGCCGGGGCCAGGGCCTCCCGGGCCGGTGAGCATCGCTGCGGAGACGAGTTGTTTTTGGTTAGTGAGTGTTTGCGGGCCAGCGGTGGGCGGCTGCCTGGTTCTCGGCTTGGGGACCACGGCCGTCGGGGCGATGCAGCCTTGGAGCTCGGGGCTGGGCCTGCGTCCTTCTCCACGGGGCCTGCGGGGGCCGGCCCCGGCGGGGGGAGGCACAGGGTGCTCTGACTGCAGGAGCAGCAGGTCCTGGCTGTCGGGCGCTCAGCTTCCGAGACGGAGCCACTTGGCGCGGCCTGCAGCTCGGCGCTGGCACCTGAGGGCTGAGGGCTGGGGAGCGGGGAGGAGTCTGGCCGGCTGGGTGGGGCAGCCTCTGCAGACGGCCGGGGCGCCTCGTCCTGGCTCTCCTCCTCGTCCTCGTCTTCCTCGTCATCCAGGTCCGAGTCGGAATCCGAGCCCTCCAGGTCTGAAAACTGGTGTTCCTCCACCACCTCTGAGCCCTGGCGCCCTTCCGGGTCCTGGAACAGGTCGTCACTGGTTCCTGAGGGGAGGGAGGACATGGGACAGGAGGTCATGGTCAGGCCAAGGCCACGCTGGCCCCGCGGCTGCTCCTCCCTAAACGCCAGGGTCCTCCCTGGTCGGCTGGGCAGAAGAGCTTCGGCTGGGGTTGACCAGGCATCGGAACAGATACCAGCCGCACTGTGACGATAGTGAGCAGCATCGACCCGGGGTCTGCAGAGCGCAAGGCTCGTTCTGTAGGCTTTGGGGCTGTGAATTCGTGTGTTCCTCGAGGAACCCCGGGTGGTTGGCCTATTCTTCTCCGTGTGTTACAGATGGGAAAATTGAGCTAAGAGATTAAGTAACTGGTCCAAGTTAGGGAGTAGTAGGGCTGGCACTGAACCCCAGTGAAACGCCACCACCAACTCCGTTAGCATCTCCGTGTTGGCCGCCCATTCCCCAAGCCCCTTGACCACGCTGTATTATTGCGCTGTGCCTTGGTCTCTCCCTTTGTCAAACGAATGGGATGGCGTTCTCTCACGGGCTTCTCTAGAGGCGAATGCAGGCCTAGCACACAGCAAGTGCCCTAACTAACCACAGCCAGCGTGAGCACTTAAATGACGTGCTCCATGCCTCCAGGACAGAGTGGTCATCCTGGCCAAACTGGCGGCACAGGGCCACGGCGGGTTTAAACGCGCATCTGCCACTGTGACCAGGCCACTGCTGGCTGGCACGCCGGCATCTGGCAGTGGCAGACTCTGGCCGCCGTGGGTGGCTGGGCTAAGTCAGCCTCAGGCTGCAGGGCAGGGCCCACCCCAGCTGTACTCCCGACCAGAGAGAACACTGCTCCCAGCTGGGGGTGGAAGGTTGTCTCCGAAACACTAGCCTTCTCGCGGGGTAGACCTGACCGGCCAGGGGAGCTCTCACATGTCAGGAGTCCAGTTTGGGCATCTCCAGAATGGGCACCATGCTGGATGCCAGGGACCGTTTTGCTGCCGTGTGGCCCCCCGGCAGGCTCCCGGGAGCTCGGAGCTGGCTGGCCCATGGCTGGGCTGTTGTGGCCTGGTGTCTACCACTTGCAAAGTGAGGGCTGAGCCTCACACAGGCCAGCGTTGCACCACTGTGGGCCAGGGGTGCCGGACAGAGGTGCTCATCCAGCTCTCTGGCGCACCCAGCTGCCTCGGGGCCAGAAAGTCTGGCAATGCCTGGACAGCCATCAGATTCTGCACGTGGACAACAGCGGGCGATCAGTAGCACAGCTGTCAAAAGCCGTGGGATGGGAGCAGGGACTAGGAGGCAGGCAGAGGGCCTCGAGGCTACGGGCAGGGCCTCCGGGAGGCTGGAAGCTGAAGATAGAGAGACCCGAAGGGGATGGGGGCTGGGCTGGGAGTAAGGACGGGCATGCACAAACGTGTGATTCTGCCCCAGCCGCTGGCCTCCCTTGCCCGGGACACTGGTGGGTGCCTCCCTCAGTCCCAGGAGTTCCTGAGCTGTGGGGACCACTGACCGGTGGTGAAACCCAGGCACAGGAGAGTCATCCAGCCAGCTCCTGGTGGGGCCAGAGCCAAGGTTTTCAGTCTGCACTGTCACACTGACAGTTAATAAAATGGCTTCATGCATGGAGAAGCAGGCGGTAGTCAGAGGTTGAAGCCCGGCTGTACCACCTCCCTGCTGGGTGACGGTGGATAACTTCTCCTCCCTGTGTCCCGGGCCTCTTCTGTGACACAGGATAACAGTACGAAGATGACTTCCGGAAGCTGCTGTGACCAGGAGGGTCTGGCTCGTGGGGAGCACCATGGCCCCACCCCAACTCACAGCAGGTGACTGTGGCCAGGCTTGGGGATGCAGGTCAGAGGTGTGGGGCTGCTAGGGAGGGGGCGGTGGGACCAGCACCTCCTGTTGCCCAGCAGGGAGGCTCTGGAACGTCTTTCCTGGTGAGGAAGCTGAGCCCCACCCTGGGCACGCAGCACAAGAGTGGTGGAGGTCAGAGGTCCCCAGCTCAGGGCAGCTTTGCCAAGCCTTCCACTTCCAGTTTCCTGCAGGGCCCCAGAGGGCTCCTCTGGCTAGGCGACCCATTCCCAGCGCCCCTCCTGCGGCTGCCGGGCCCCTGCTGGCATCCAGGCCTGCTCTCAGCAAGGCCGGGATGGGTTCCGGGGAAGGTGGGGGAAGCACGCGGCTGGACGCAGCCTCCCGGGCGCGCCACACGGGGGCGCTAGCGCCCAAGCTCATCGCCTCCAGGCGGGAGGCGGCCGGTCCTCCGAGCCGTGCCTGCCTTCTGGCCCCTTGGAGTTCCACAGACGCCAAGTCCCGATGGCCCTCCTCGCAGCTATCTTCTCGCCCTCCTCGCTTCCCCCCAGCGGATGAATCGGCGAAGTCTGCGGCTCTGACTCTAGTCGGTGGGAGGAATCTGACCGTGTCTCTGCACCCGCACGGAGCCCACCTGCTCCGTGCCTCTGCGGGCTCGGCCGGGACCGCTGTCTCCCGTGCGCCCCCTGCCGGCCGTTCCCACGCATACTGTGATCTGCAGGGCCCTAGCTCGCTCTGATCTGTTCTGCCGGCTCCAGCCACGGCCACCTGCCTGCTGCCTCACTCAGGTTCGCTGCTCAGACCACTCGCTGTCTGACACCACGGCGGCCCTCGCCTGGGTCTTTGGGCTACTGTTCTCCTCTCTCTCTGGCTCCACGGTCCCCGCCCTGGTTCCTCACTGGTCCGCCGCCTGGCTCCCCTTCAGACCGGCTGATGGGGCTGAGTCGGATTCCCTGCAGAATCTCCAGCACAGAACAGAGCAGTGGCCCCGTGAGTGGGGATGCCTCCCCCATGAATATGTGTATTTCACCCTTGCTCTGGGTGCCCACGACCTTGCTGGCTTGTCCTGCTGGGAGGGGGACTCTGAGGGAGGGCTCTGGGCTGGCCAGGGTGTGGTGTGGAGCCAGTGTCTTCCTGTGGCCTTGGGGCACTGTTTGCCTGTCTAAGCTTCCCTTTCCTCAACTGAAAATGGGGCCACACAGGTTCCTCGCCCTGTACACGGCCTGAGATGCCTTGCCCCCCTCCCCCAGCCATGGTCTGGCTTTGGAGAGAACAGCCAAGTTCACAGAGAGGTGATTTCTTCCACCTAAAAGCAGGTGTGTATCTCTTTTGCAAGACTGCAGATGCATCCGCACACGAGGACAATGCCAGCACATGACGCACACACTGCTCTCTGTCACTCGAAGCTCTGAGACTGATCTCGGGACTCTGTGGTCCAAGCAGTGGCTCCAGCCTCGCCTGTTGGGGGGGCTGCCCATGCACCTGCCGAAGCCCCTCTGGCTCCTGCCGGGATGCTGACTCCCCTGTGCTCTCTCCTCAGAGCTCGGCTCTAACATGTCCCTAGCAATGAAGGGCCAGGGCCCAGGTGTGAGTGACATGGGGCTGGGAGGCAGCAAGGGGCTACCAGGTCGGGCTGTGGCTTTCTGGAAAACTCCAGCTCCAAAAGGCCTACAGATCAGGCCTGTGGCAGAGTTGGCGTGTGGGCGTGGAGCTGCTGAGTCAGTCCCCCACGGCATCCGTGGGAGGGTCTAACCCAGGGCACGTGGTTAGGACAAAACAGGTGTCCCCGTGGACAGGAATGATTCACATGAGCCCGTGTTCAGTAAGCATTCACTGAGCTCCTTGGGGTGCAGGTGTTGCACCTGCAGGGTGGACGGCAACGCATGCCAGCCACGGCTGCACAGCAGCTACGATGTGTGCATGGGGAGTGGGCTGATCTTTCTGGGATCTAACCTTTGTCTCCCAGGAGCTGGGAAAACTGGCGTTGAGGGCATGGGTTGGAGGGCACAGGAGGGAGGGAGGCACAGAAAGGGAGGGGGCTGGGGGGAGATGGGAGAGGAGACGGTGGGGAGGGGGAGGGCCGGGGTCGACCCATTGTCACCTTCTTCGGCTTCCAGCTCCTCCAGCACCCCTGTCTCTTGGCACTTTTTGCTGTGGGCTTTCGACTTCATGTGCTTAGTCAGATTCCCTGAAAAGAAACGAGAACAGATTCAGGCTCAGCTGCAGGCCAGGGCTCACAGAGGCAGGGCTGGCCGGCAGCCCACGGCTTCTCAGACCAGTCGAGGCCCTGCCACCTGCAGACACTGGGCTGGGGCCCGGCAGCCTCTGCCGGTGCTCGGGCCAGGATGCGCGGCCGCAGCTGCTGCTCAGAGTGGAACCCAGGAGCTGGGGAGGGGTGGATGTGGGGCTGAGAGTGATGAGAAGGTGAGATGCTTGTTCAATGATGAACCAAAAAGAAATGAAAAGAACACTCAAGTATGGTGGGGTTTTCCTGTGTCTGATTTAAATCTGGGCCTGGGGGGCTGATGACACCCCTCACACCGGGTTACGGGCCCTTGAAGATGCTGGGATGGTGCTCACAGGTGAGCGGTGCCGGCTTGGCCCTCCGGCTGCCGCACCTCTGTGCAGCCTGCAGGGCAGAGGCTAAGTGTCTGGGATAAGGAATGGAGACAGGGCCGAGGCCTAGCGTGCGGGAATCAACGGGCAGGGGCCGGGAGCCACAGGGCTGGGGGCCGAGCCTGGCTTCCTCGGGGAAGTCCCCTTTCTGGGCCTTTGTCACTCCAGTCCAGTGTGCAGATGCAGCGGCGTAGTGGTCCAGAGATGGCCCAGGCAAGGCTCTGCCTTGTTTTGTGCCTGTGAAGCCCTCGAAAGGGAGGCTGGCTCTGCCTCCCTTGCAAGTTTTGGGTCCGGAGGAATGGGCACAGCTCTGTGGAATTGGGGGAACCGTGATGACCCCAAGGCGCCCCGCCCCAGTGCACAGCCTCTCACAGGCACATCTCTCTGCAGACAGCAGTGTCTTGGAGAGGAGGGCAGAGCAGTGCAGCCCACCCAGGGGCATGCTTCCAAGCTGGGGTGTGCTCACGTTGGCCTGAGAGCCGTCCTCTCTCCAGACGGCTGTTCACACGATCGATCCTGAGTTCCCCAGCAGGCACTCGGCCTCACTCATCTTACTGGTTGGTAAGTTGGAATGGGTGGATGGAGACTGGGGGGTGGATGGCTGGATAATTGGACAGGAAATATGGAGCGAGGAGGGAACAGGAAGGGGATAGACAGAAGGGGCACTGGAGAGCAGATAGGAGGTAGATCCGGGGTTCATGAGGAAAACGCAGGCAAAGATGGATGGGAAGTGGGCCCACGGGATGGTGGAGAGTTGTCCAGGAGGGTGGAGATGTGGACAGGCTGCTGGCCTGGGCACGTATACATGCTCCAGGCAGACGGGGGGTAGCAGAGCTGGGTGGAAGGTTGGGAGTGGGAGGCAGAGTGGACAAACGGGAGGATCGACTAGGGTGAGAAGATCCATGGGGGCTGAGTGAGTAGGAGAGTAACCATGGGCTGAGGGGCTGGGGGAGAGGGATTAACGGGGGACAGATGCTGGCTGGGTGGATGAACAGAGCGAGGCCAGGGAGGACACAAAAGCTGCATCCGAGTCATTCTGAGAATTTTAAGGGAGCTTTGGGGTTTTGCTGAGGTTACTGGGGAACCTTAAGCTGGGATTCCCTGGCACGTGCAAGCCGAGGGCTTCTAGTCCATTCTGTGACTTTATCCTTCCCAATGAGGGTGGGGAGAGGCAGCTGGGGTCTTGCCTGGATCCAAGACACCAACTGTCCAGAGCAGGAGCGGGGGACATCTCGGGCCAGGCCCTGTGAGACCTGCGGAGTCCTCTGGTCCGGCTCTGCCACGCAACAGCAGGTGGGACTTGAGATTCAGTGCATCTAGAGCAGGCTGCTTTTTAAGTGGGTCATTGTGCAGGGCCCGTGAATGACGGACGTCATGGATATCCACAAGGCCCTTGGCAGAACAAAGGTTCCCCAGCCCTGGTGGAGAGGTCCTGGCACCAGCACCGCCCCCGCCCCACTACCCCAGGCCAGGGAGGACTATGAGCCCTGCGCCTGCTGCCTGTCGGAGCTCTCATTACACACACTCTGCCCGGAAGGGGTAGGGCCCTATTCCAGCAAGCCAGGCACTGAGCACATACACAGAGGGTGTGCGATAGCCACGGGGCAGGGGGTGTCTTTCTCATGACGAAGCAAAGTGCTGGGAGGAATCTCACAGCCCATGGAAGTTGCCCACCCCCCACCTCCCCCAAGATCAAGGCCTTCTCCTGCAGGAGATCTGACTCCAGGCCCAGGTGCTGATGACATCATTAGGCAAGGTCGCTGGCTGTCCCGGGTGAGGCAGGGCTCCCAATAACCAACACAGCTGACCCAGTGCGGAGCACCACCCAGACCCAGGCCCCGGGACTCAGGGGCTGTGCTCCCTCCAGGTGGCGGTGGACAGAAGCGGATGGATCAGGAGTATGGAGCCTGGGCTCTGCCACGTGCTAGCTGTGTGATCTTTCTGCAACTGCAAAGCTGTACCTACCTGTGGGGGCACCAGGAGGGCTCGATAGGATAATGGAGGCCAGGTGGCAGAGTGCACCCAGCAGAGAGCAGACCCCTGCCCCAGTGACAGTCCCAGGGACGCTGCCACACACCACGCTGGGTGTGGAGGAGACAGACCCTAGGAGATGATGCTCACAGAGCTATGAGCCATGCTCCTTTCAGACTGGGCCCCATGGCTCTTAGAAGGTATCAGGGAGTGGCTCCCACCCCTGGGGGTGTAGGAAGGAGCTGGGGAACCTGGAGTGACTGTGGTGAGCAGCCCTGAGTGTTGTCTCAACTCCCTCTAAGATCACTCCTCTGTGGCCTGTCCCCTAGGCTGTGCACAGAGAGGTATACCAGATGGCTCCTGCAGCTTCTCACAGTCAATACAGCCCCCGCCGAAATCCCCACAGCCCTGGCAGGAAGGATGGACAGTTCTTGGTGTCTGGAAGAGGCGGAGCCTCCCCTAGGAGCATCAGCTGATGACCCCGTCTGCCTCTTCCAGTTGTGACCAACGTCCACCCCCACCCCTGCTTGCCTGTTGGACATGAGGCCTGCCCACAGCTGCCATCTCTGTCCCCTACGGCGATCGGCGCCAAGGGCCTGCACACAGCAGGCACAGCCTCCCCCTGGCCTCTGGCACCCATCTGAGGAGGGGAACCGGGACCCCAACCTCCGCAGAGCATCCTGGGGGCCTCCCGTGGCCCCGCCCACTTCCCAATGGCACCCTCCTCAGGTAGCTCCCAGAGGCCTAAGCTGCCGCCACGAGACGTCTGACACAGAGACGAGACACAGACAGGCAGACAGAGACAGACAGGGAGGTTTCCCAGGCATAGGTGCAGCCCCGTGATGTCGGGAGGACGTGGGGATCCGGTGGGTGGGCCTGGTCCAAAGCCACTGGGCCCGGCCTCTGCTTGCATCAGGCTCAGCTTCAGAGGGGAGGGAGGTGGGTGGCCATGGCCTGAACAAGGCAGATAGCCCTGGGGCGGGGGAGGGCTTGTGTTTTTGGAGCTGATAGCTGACAGGGCCTGGGGAGCAGGGCCCCAGGGAGACACGAGGGCAGTGCCCTGGCTGTATCCACTCCGCATCTCGGAGAGAGCCGGGGACTTCTGCTGAGTCACTCTGTTGCCACCCCACAGGCTCCCTCTCTGCTGGCAGTCCTGACTGGCACCCTGCTTGGCTCTGGAAGGTGCCTGGCTGGTGGCCCTGGGAATGCTTGAGGTCCACCTGCTCCCTGGCCACTGGCTGGGCACAGCACCCCCGGGGTCCAGCCTTCCAGGCAAAAGGGGGCAGCCTTCCCTCGGGTGCTCTGCAGCCCCTCTGCTGGGCACTGCAGATGCACTGGCCTGGCTCAGAGACCCAGCTCATGGACTTGGCATGGCTCTTGAAGAAGGCTGGGCTGTGGGGCTTCCTGCCAGGCACCCAAGCCCCTCTCAGACCTGGAGCAGTGGGTGTGGCCCCTGGGGAAGGCCGCCTGTGCTGGGGACCCAGCCGGAGCGTGTGCTGTGGTCTCACGGGGGCACAGTGCCTGGGCTGTGGGCTCTCTAGGCTTCCTGATGGGAGGGCAGGACAATGGCATCTCCTGGATACGGGCTGGGATGGAGCCAGCAGCTGTGACCTCTCAGGAGGCCACCAACTGCTTTGTGCAGTGAAGAGAGGAAGATGACGGTGTGATGCCCACGGGGGAGGGCCTGGGGCTCCAGTTAGAGGCCAGCACCGACAGCCACGTCTGTTCTTTCGGCCTCACTCTTGGCCTTCACTGGAGCTCAGATGAGAAGTTTTTGGCTTTCAGAGGCAAAGACTGACATTGACACTCCACTCCATCACGGCCACCTCTCTCTGACTTGAAAGCCCAACTGGCTGCCAAAGGACTGGAGGGACCCCGTGGAGCAGAGCTGTGGCCAGGCTGAGCTGGGCCGCCCTGGATATGGCAGGCTCCGGGGCGGGGGTGTGTGTGTCTTGGCTGCACCCTGGGGCAGGGTGGGGGCTCCAGGCCCACCGGCCCTCCCTGGGCACTTTGGGGGCATTGTTTATGAGATCCTGAGAGAGCAAAGGAGCAGGAGAAGGGTGTGGGAGGTGGGCACCTCCAGCCAAAGCAAAACCTTGCCAGGAAATTCTGAGCTCAGCTTGAGGATGACGCAGCGGGCCAAGGGGTGCAGCTCCCGGGGTCAGAGAGGAGGCTGCTGGCCAGGGCATGTGGTGGACAGGCCCTGACCTTGCAGCGAGAGAATAGACGTGCCGGGCCGGGAGCAGATGGAGGAAGTGGGGACAGTGGGGAACCCCGCTGGGGCCCTCCTCAGAGCAGCCGCCCCATCTCCATCACTGGCAGCAGCATTGCCAGCAGAAGCAGGTCACCAAGAGGCCAAACCCAAGTCTGCCCTGGAGTGCTGTCTTCTGAGAAACCACACGGCCCCTGTGGGACCCCATGGAGGCCCCAGCCATGTCCAGTCCCTGACCCAAGAATCTGCAAAGCGCAGGAAACTGAAGCTACAGTGCCTCTTCTGAGGCGCCTGGGTCTGCTCAGCCCCGGAGAGGCAGTGAGCAGTGAGCCAGCAGCAGGGCCCTCCCGCCTGGGCAGCAGAGGAGGCTGGGTCCTGGAGCTGCATGAGCTCAGCCCCTGTGTCCACCCAGGATCTTGGAAGCTGTAGCTGGCCAGGCGGCCACTGTCACCCGCCACACCTCTCTGGGTACGCACGCTCTCGGTGGCTGGTCCTTTCACTGGTGACTGCCAGAGCCTGTCCTGACCCTCCAGTGGGGTGTGGCTTGGGGGACAGGAGTGACCCAGCCGCCAGTCCAGGATGGGGAGAGCTGGGCCCTTGTTGAGCGGCTGAGAGCCCGTGGACATGGTGGGAGTGGGAGGTAGGGGCGGGCTGCAGGCATGAGAAGGGGGCATGCGAGCGTGTTAGGTGGCTCTGAGTGGAATGGATTTCCAAATGCAAGAGTGGCGGTGACGAGTGCGGATGCTGGAGTCGGTCAGGTCAGCGGAGACACGGCTACGGAGACATGCAGAAGGCAGGGGCGATGGGGTGAAGACGCACTCCGGAGCCGTGTGCCCGAGCGCCGCCGCACAGGTGGAGGGGCTGGGGGCAGCCCTGGGGCGCCACTGCCTGGTCTGGAGCCGGCTGCTCTGCCAGGGGGTGCCACGTGGGGGTGGGATCCCAGGTAAAGAGGTCTGGGCCCCTGAGCTCTGTGCTGGGGCTCCCAGAGGGGAGTGCCCCGCAGTGGGCGTGCAGGGCAGCGCCCCGGCTGACTGTCTCTTACCTTTGGTTTTAAAAGCAAAGTGACAGTGCTTGCACACATAGGGCCGGACGTCAGTGTGGGTACGGATGTGTTTCTTCAGCATGCTGGGCTTCTTGCAGCGAATTCCACACTCCTCACAAACATACTTCCCTCGGCCGCGGCCTCGCACATATACATACTCTTCGTTTGATTTGTACCTATGAGCGACAGGCGGCATGGTAAAGGGCAAAAACAAGGAGGACAGGAGGCAGGGCCCCACCGCCGAGGCTGCACGCGCTACCCACGGACCGCAGGGACCGAGTCGCCCTGGGGATCCACCATGGACCCCTGGCCACTGCCCCCTGTCTGTCCCCAGAGGCAGGGAGCTTCCTGCCGGGGAGAAGCGAAGCCGCACGTTCCCTCTTGCTCCCTTGCCAGTCCTGCCTACCAAGAACAGCCTTCGCGGGCCAGCAGAGTGACAGAGTGTTTAGCCACGGCAGCAACGGGACTCATGCCAATCACAGCAGCAGCGCCAGGGGCTGCCGACCACCAGGTGCTCCCCTGTCAGCCCCGGATTCCATCACAGTCGCCTTAAAGGAAGGACCCTTGAGACGCAGGGGCTCAGAGAGGGTGGGGGACCCATTGAGATCCCCCAGCCTAAAGATGGCCGAAGCAGCTCTGGCACCGCCTGCCCAGGCTGGTCCACCTCCACGGGGTGTCATACACACACACGCAGTCTTCCAGGAAGGCGGCCACACACACGCGTGTGATGGGAGGTGGGGGGACCCTGTTCTCTCCCCGGCCTCAGCCTACTGCCGGCCAGCTTTCTCCCTGTCCCCAGCTCTGCGGGACCCAGGTTCCCGCAGCCTCTCATTGCGAGGGTTCCACCAGGAGGCACTGCTGGCTTCCATGGATCCCCCCGGCTGCTGCCCTCCCTGCTGGGTCACAGACGCCCGTGAGACCCAAAGGAGTCCCACAGCTCACCAGCCTCACTACCAGGCCACATTGCTGGTCTGACGCTGTTAAGTGTGCAAGTCCCCACATGGGGACCGAGAGAGGCCTCCCTGACAGGCATCCAAGAGAGAAAGGCTTCCAGCTCAAGCCTTGGGGTCCCTGGCAGGTGCGGTGCCGGGAAGGGAGGCGCAGAGCTGGTCTTCCCCACACCCACGGCACAGCCCTGCCAAGTGGGGTCGGCACCTATGCCTCGGGGGCCACCAGCTCACAGCAGAGAGGTGGGATGTCCGGGGTGGGGGGGCTTGGAACTACCACCCCAACCCCATTCACACTCACTCACACGCACTCACAAACCCTGTCACAATTGCACCCCTGCAACAGCCACGCACAGGAACTGCTGTCCACTGGTACGGGGGGACCCTGCCTTTGGTCACCTTAGATTTGGTTGTAGGAGGTTTTCAAAACTCTGAGTCCATCCTTTCTTCCCCGCGGCAGGCGCTGACTAGCAAGGGTCCCGCAGCTCCTCCCTGGTGTAGGCAAGCGCCACCTTGTGTTCAAGGGCAGGAACTGGAGGCCATGGGGGCCGCGGGAGAATGAGTCCCCGCTGTTCTTGGGAAGAGCGCCCTGCGGCTCGGCCACGCCCACTGCCGGCCAGCCAATGGCTGCCGCTCCCGCAGCGGCCACATCCAGGTTTTCACACCCGCGCCTGCCATGCGCCCCGGAACGTGGTCCTCGGGACAGCAGGTGGAGGCAGGGCACCCTATCCCAGCTAGAAGACACAGTGGGAATGGCTTGTTCTCTTGCTACTGCAGGCTCTGTGGCCCTGGCACCAACCCTCACCCACCTTGCCCAGAGAGTCCACGTCGTGGGCTCCCTGTCAGAGCCAGCCTTCCCTGCACCCTGCTGCTCACACACAGGCCCTCGGCCACTTTGGCCTTGACCTTGACGGCATTGGGCTGCCCTCTGTGCTCAAGCCCCCTGGGCCACAGGCCCCGGAGCATTCTCAAACTCCCGTTTTTCTTTCTCCATAGGAAACTTACACAGCACCTGTGCATCCCATCTGGGGACGGCCCTCACGGGCGGTGCCTGGATGTGGGGGAGGCATAGGTAGACCCCTGTACACCTTGTCCCTCAACCCTGGGGAGCACCAGGGAGGAGTCTGGGAGACAGAAGTGGGAGGACAGCTCCCTTGCAGGGAACCTGGAGTGCTGAAAGGCCAGGTGGGTTCCATGGAGAGAACTGAGGCTGGACGGGGGAACACCAATGGTCTTGAATGCCACACTAAGGTTGGGCTTGATCAAAGTTGTCTTAAAGTCTCCAAGAGTTTGGGACCAGCGCTATGTTGTAGGGGTAAGGCTGCCACCTGCAGTGCCAGCATCCCATATGGGTGCCAATTCGAGTCCACTTCTGATTTGGCTCTCTGCTATGGCCTGGGAAAGCAGTGGAAGATGGCCCAGGTCCTTGGCCCCTGCACTGGCGTGGGAGACCTTGAGGAGGTTCCTGGCTTTGAATCAGCACAGCTCCCACCATTGTGGCCATTTGGGGAGTAAACCAGTGGATGGAAGACCTTTCTCTCTCTCTCTCTGCCTCTCTCTCTCTGTAACTCTGCCTTTCAAATAAATAAACAAATCTTAAAAGATAAAGTCTCCAAGAGGCTCCTTCCCTGGTGCTGTGGGAATGGTTGGGGGTGGGAGGAAGGAGAAGAAGGAGGGGACAAGGAGGAGGAGAAGACACCGTATCTGGACTCCAGCCTCTGCATGGGGCAGGACTCAGAATGAGGGAGGAGCGCAAGTCCAGAGGCATTGGCCTGGCAGTTCAAGGGCACCGTGTGCAGACTCACACGTCTCACCACTCAGGGGAAGGACATGAAGAGGTGTCCAGGACACGGCGGTGTGCCCATAGAGGACCTGCAGATCTCTGGGGAGGAAGATGGCCATACACAGAGAATGAAAAGTGAGATTATAACGGAGCCAGGGGTCATTGCAAGCCAACTACGCCCCTCCCTGCTCCCAGCACCTCGCCTTGCTGCCGACACGGGGCCAGCCACCCCCAAAGCCGCCCTGGAGCCCAGGCCCTCTCCAGCCTGGCTCCCTCTGCTTCCTTGTACCACCCAGCATGGAGAGGGCTGTCCACATGCCCTCACCATCCACACTTCCCCGCCTGCTGTGGCCCAGCTCTGCCCACGGACTGTCCTTGCCGAGGTCACAGGTCGCTAAATGCAAAGGATACTGCTGTGTCCTCTCTGTCTTCTTGCCTGCTCCCCAGAGGCACCAGTCGGCTGCAGCAACTCCCCCCACCCCAAGCTCTTTTTTGCATGCCCTTCCCTGTGATGCTACCGCCCAGGCTCCAACCTGAGTCTTCCCCTCACACCTTCCCTGGCGTCCACACCTGTGTGTAGACGGCTTCTTCTCCTCCCTGCAGCTAGGGCCGCTTTGCCGGACTTCACTGCCCCCCAGCATCTGCCTGGAGGGGGAGCCTTCACGCACCTGGCACCTCACAGCCCCCCCCCATGTGTCATTGTCACAGCCAAGCCGACAGCTGGGTTTCATGCTCGGGGGCTCCACTTTATTCACCCTTCACGTTCAGTCCCTCACGAACTATCAGTGTTGCATCCAACCTGTGCCCCAAGGATGCCACCTCTCTGCCCCCACGAGACCAGGCCGCCATCCTGTCCCATATCACTGCATCTTTCTCACAAAACACCAGGGGAGCATCCCCAAATACACCCAGTGCTGTCCCCTCCCAGCGCCTCTTCCCCACTCCTCCCTGCTCGCACCTACGTTTTCTCGCTGATCCTGAGCCTGTTGCACTCCCCTCCAACCAAACTTAAAGCCCTTGACCTCTGTTACCACCTGCTTCTCCTGTCTGACCAGCTCCTCGGCTCCCTAGGGTGCCTTCCTCCAGGAGGCCTCCCGCCCCCTCCTCTGGCTGGAGGGTTGGGTCTCACCTGTACCCACCAAGCCGTGGGGACGGCAGTGGTCTTTCCACAAGTACAGTCCCCCTGGTCTCCAGTCCCCAGTGCCCAGCAAGGGCTTGGTGAATACCTGCTGGCAGGGCATCCGAGAGCAGAGGCAAGGCCTTCTTGCCTGGGCTGCTACCATCAGACTCTCAGCCTGGCCTTTCCCACCCCACAGTCCGTGAGAGGCTGTGGGCGCCTGCACATTTCCTGCTTTCCGACAAGAATATGGCTGCTTGTCAAAGGGCAGAGCTCAGCAGGGGACCTGGTCTGGGTTCTGCTTCCGGAATGAAGTTGCTGTGTGGCCTCGGGCAGGTCATTTCCCTCCTGGGAAGCAATCGCTCCTCACGGTCCTCAGACGGAACAGAGCCCCGTCACAAGTCTGGCAACCCTGGGTCCCCCCATCAACTCTTACCCTTGTCCTTGTTTTACACAAAAGGGAGTCAAGGCTCAGAGTTCAAGGGCCATAGCCAAGGTCACGCAGCTGGCCATCTTCCCACTGAGCAGCACCCTGTCCCTGCACAGACACCTTTAGGGACCGACCAAGGTTTCCTTAGCAACTTCCTTTCCCAGCATTCCCAGAGACTGGTAACACTGCAGACAAACACGGGTGGCATTGGTCCCCACCCAGCCCTTCCTGCAAGGCCGCCAGCCCCGGGGTGGAACCTCCGGGTGTTGACAGCTGCAGAGGAAGGCCCAGTAAAGATCCAGGGCCAGAAACCGGACAACCACGGTGGGGTCCGAGGACGCCTGGTCCTGCCTCCCAGGTCCTGGCCCCCCTCCTAAGCCACAGGCTGCTGTTTACCCAGGAGGACAAGTGGCTGAGCCCCTGCCTGCTCCAAGGCTGCAAGACAGCTCATGGCTGACAGGCCTGGTGCGCCCAGGACAGGGAGCAATTTCTCCTCTCCCCACTGCTCTGCTTGCAGCCCTGGTGTCAGGGAGGTGTCAGGCAGCCTGGGACACAGTCTTGGGTTTTGTTCTCAAAAGAAAAAGAGCTGTTTTCATGGATTTCTAATGCCTCAGCGGGAGGGACATAGACCTGGTAGCCAGACTGCCTGAGGTTCAAGGCTGAGACTGCCAGAGGCTGCCCAGCAGGGGGCTCTGCAGCCCAGGGGGCCTCCAAACCCCTGCCAGGAAGCTGGAGGCTGCTAGAGGGGCTCTGGGGCTGCCTGGCTCTTCCTGGATGACTCTGATCTCAGCTCAAAGGAAAAGATCCTCAAACAACCCACTGATCAGGAGGGGTGTCTTATCCTCATCTAACAGAGGAGACCCAGGGAGCGGTCTTCCGCCTTTGAAGCTGGGGCCCGA